CTGAAGGCCTCTTCTTTCGAAAAAACTCCCTCTTCCACATCCATACACGCCTTTTTCCAAAAAAGCTCTTTCAGAAAAAGGCTTCTTCCTCGTAGAAAGAGGTTTACCGCTGTCAGAAAAAGCCCTGCATTTTCGACTTTGTCAAAAGAACGCAATTGCAGTGTGGACGTAAGTATAGTTTGTCTGGAAAAACGGCTGTTCTGGAAAAACTCTGCAGCATAGACACTGCACTGCACCCTTAGCTCAAAACAAGCTATGGAATTTGAGCTACACAAATTGCGTAGCTTATTTCGAGTTAATTTCAAAATGGAGAGCTATTCCAAAATGTCCCTTAATCCTTGTGGAATGAGGTTTACAGGAACGTTAGACTAGTGCACCCATTATTTCGAAAGCTATTTCAAAATAATGAGCACGCTGTCAAGACATGGAAAACGCTATTCCGGGATACTGGAAGTATCCCAAAATAGCATCGCTGTCTAGACACACTGTTAGCTACCTTCCTAAATCCTGAAGTGCAAGAAAAATGACATCTGAAGAAGTGGGTTGTACCCATGAAAGCTCATGATACCATCTATGCGTTTTGTTAGTCTTTAAGACCATTCGCTGTTGTTTATGTTTTACTTCGGTCAGTGCTTCATGATGCACTGCTCTATCTTCACAACTGATGGAGAAGTGCCCAGGTGAGCTGTTGAGCAGATAACGGTTATTTCTCCCCTAGAGTTAATCATGAACACCACATTTTAGACTAAAGTTTTGTCACTGGCTTTCCTGGAAGCAAGATCAGATTCTCCTGGGAGTGAAAGGAAGCGGATCTGCCCCTTTGAGTGGAAAAGAATTAATTCACACCGCATACACAATAAAGCTCCTTTTCATCTTGAAATTTCTTGTGTGCGATCTCTAGCCAGAAAAGAACTTTGTGTGTGAGAGAGATTGGAGGGTAGTGGTTGTTTTTTTTAATATTCAATTTTGGAAAAAGTTAAGAAATGTGACATTTTGTAAAGCCACTCTCAAAACTTTCAAGTCTTCACTGGAAGAGGAGTTCCCTGCTCCTAAACACCTCAGTCTCCTCTATCCTGCTGTCAACAGCTGTGGTGCTTTGTTTCATGCCAAATTAATCTTGAGCATAAAGCATTTCACCTCTGAACCAGAACCTCAATTCTTTAAAAAAAAAAAAAAAAAAACCACGAACCCCTCCCATGCCTCAGAATTTGAATTAAGATCCACAGAATTTGCACCCTCCCACCAAAGTTACACACATAGTGAAGTATGTTTTCATCAGAGGCTGTCCGTGTGGTCCTAAAAATCACAGCATGATCTGCAAGACACATGTAACTCTTCAGAGGCCTGCATTAACAGATGTTTTCTGTTAGTTATTTTGACCTAGAGTTTTCTTTTTCTCCTTCCCCACCTCAGTCCTGGCTGCTGGTATCACCTCTCCCTGCCCTCTCCTCCACAGCACAGAACAACAACAAAAAGTCCGCCTCACCCAGTACCAAAACTGTAAACAGACTCACAACTCCACTACTCCTTAATCAATCAGACCCAGCATAGCTATTTTCCACCTCTATTGGATTCCTTCCTCCTGAAGTTTTAAGGCAATAGTGCTGCTATTGGTGGGTTGCTAATTTTTAAAATATGTTGCACAATTATATGTTTCAAGACATTTTATAGACAGAAGGTCCCAATTCAGGAAAGTATCATTATTTGAAGCAATAGTTAAGCACACAGTGAACTTTAGGCCTGCGCTCAAATTCCACTCAAGTCAATGAGACTAACATAGGTGTGTAATTTTAAACACTGACTTATGCGTTAGCCTGAAAACGACTAGACATTAGCACATGCCTAAGTGTTTTCCTGAATCCTGGCCTAAGAATGTCCCTAACTTTTTGAAGACTGCAGTCCTTCCTTTTTATACATATAAGTTATAACTAACTTTAATCACACAAGTATGTGACTAGGCATGTCCGTAAGGTTACTCACATGCCTAAATACCTGCAAGCTCAGGGATAAAGTAAAAGAGAGAAGTCACAGGGCATCAAGGGTGGCTGTGGGAAAAAAAATGTGTAGTGGTGTTATATAAATAATCCAAACGACTGGTTTTTCTAGAGGATCAGACTCCCTTAAAATTATTTAAAATCATTCTCCTTAAAAAAAAAAAAAGCCTGGTAAAAAACCTCATGCTGCCCTGCTGAGAAAAAGTTGCAGGTTTTCTTAGGTCTGCTTGCCATGCTTGCTCCAATATTGTCTCTTACACCCTCACTGCTCCTCCGACAAAACACACACACACCCACACACACACAACACCAACCATCTTAGGTGTCATTTTTTTTTTAAAAAAAAGCTTGTGTATTCAATGTGTACATACAAAAAAAAGGGACACACACAGTGATGCAAACAAAACATTAAAATTGCCATTAAGGGAATTAATTTTAAAGTCACAGAGCATGTTATTCCTGGAAATTGCTTTTATTTAGCAATGATGTTAGCACGACAAGAAGGCAGCTGATATCAAAAGCACAAGAAAGTTCAATATAAACAAGAGGAAAAAGTAGATTAACTGAAATTTAATGAGGGGGAAAAAGTAGATTAACTGAAATTTCAGAGCATTCACACTGAAAACACCCCATTAATTTGTCTGCACAGAAACCCATGAGGGTTTCTTATCTTGACTTTAGTAACTTTTTTGCAACTGAAAATTACATTCCACTGACAACCTGGAAGAAAAAAATAAAGAAGACAAAGCCAATAGTCAGATAACATTTTAATTTTTTTGACGTTTTTCCTGTAAAATGGCTTGTACTTCCACAGGTACAACAGTGAAGAAATAATTTTTGAATCCATTTCACATGGCATATAAAAGATTGGTTTTACAAATATATCTTGAAAATTTAACAACTGGTAACACTGTATAAAGTAAACATAGCCACTTCCCCTTGATACTGGGCTTGCTGTTCAAATGAGAGATTTTTCCTGCAGCTGTATTACAAGACAAGAGCCCATGTAAGGAAACTGATTTAGTAACATGCTTGTTGAAAGTAGAACACAATGCATGTTTTTAGCCATCAGTTACTGGTGATGCAAATACAAAGAATGCAAGGTACTTGGTGATGGTTAACAGCCCATCTGGAAAGTATAAATATGTCCCATAAAAGTAAAGTGATTTGAGAGCTACTGCTTTCTTTAAAGCAACTTCTGTTTGGTATCCCAGCAATTTATACTGTTTCTCTGCTGCTAGCAAAACCAAAGAAGGCATGTCTTCCTCTAAGTAGCAGTGAAAGTAAAATTATACACCCTATGCCCCCATCAATTAGTTAGGAACAGAAGGCCAGATACTGTGGTCTTTTCAAGAACAAAACTAATGCTGAAGTCAATGCAAATTTGCTTGAATAAAGGACCAGAGAATCTGGATAGGAGTTTATTTTGCATAAGGAAGTCAGAAATTGATCCTGAACAAATAGGGTTACCCTCACTTTTCCTAACACCAGCTTTGGGGACTATTTATAATGCAAACCATTATATATTAGAATTAAAGAATCACCAAGAGAGAGAAATCTGTGCCCTTCTTTGCTTCTTTGTGATGAAGCAATCTTTAAAATACCACACGAAGCTGTAAATTGGGTATCAGAGAGAGGAAGATATTTTTAGCTAGAATATTTTAAACTATTTGACTTTTTTAAACGTCTCTATCTCAAGTGCCTCACAACTTCCTTTCCCTTAAGTGTGTCAGATTCAACATCTCTGTGAATCCCCCCCACATGGCACCTGAGACAAGTCATCCACCAAACCAGGGAAGACAAGACTTGACAATGCTCACATGGAGTAAATCAGAGAGAATCAAAAGAAGGCACAAATCTTGTTTTAAAATGCCATTTGCAGCTCTCACCTTTAACATACATAGGAG